AGCAATATTACTGTAATATTTCAATATTATTTAAAAACGTGTAATACATCAGTAATATTTCTGAAATATTTCATTGTAATACGTAATATTTCCACTATATTGCAATATTACTGCGATATTTCTGTAATATTATGTGCTGTGTGGGTTGTTAATATCTCACAAGTGCACAGAAGTGTACTTAATATAATAGCATTTTCGTTTTTTAACTTATTTTAGTGTTGAATGATCGTATGAATCAATAAAATTCCACTAAAGAATTAGTTCCGAATGAGCGTCGTTTTTTAACTCCAAGCAACAGCCTATTGATATAAGTTGTGAAATTCCGTCCTTTATATATCATCGTTCTTATACCATCGTTAGTCTTATTTTAAATACAAGAAACTGATCCCATTGGATCCCATCTATCGGATGACCAAACACTTACATATAACCAGTAAATACATTAATATAATATAATACAATAAATATATATATATTTATAAAAAGTTGATTTTGTAATACCCCAGTAAGCAAGAAACACCAAGAAACATTTTAACTACATTACAGCAACGTTTTAACATTAATGCAATGTAGTTGAAATGTTTCTTGACGTTTCTTGCTTACTGAAACAAAAATAGGCCAGTCATATTAGACTAATTTAGGGGGTTAACTTTCCAATCAATCTTTCCAGGTTTCAACTACCATGAATCGCTTTGATTTGAGATGCTATAAGTGGGATTTATTTTGTTTTGCAAAATTAACGGGGAATAAAAAGTTATTAACAATATTATCGACAAAAAATGCGATTTTTTTATTTTTTCTTAAATATCTCGAATACTAAGCAAAATAGGGTAACTAACTATACATACCTTTTTTATAGAGCGTAACATTATCTACAATAATGATCTAAACAACATTTATCGTCAAGTCAGTCGTTTATAGCTTGCACGCGCTGTCAAATTCCAAGACTCGGATCCCGAAAACCCTCAATTTCGTCGTTTTTTTATGTTGCACCAGTGATTTTTTTCTGTCATTTAAAATAACATTTAAAAGCTCCAAAAAATCACATCATCTGAGCACTACAAAGAATACTTTTCATGGTACAATCAATTTTTTAGACCCTTTTTCTTTAGTTTGTAGCTATGTAAGCAAACAACCTAAGACTAATCCAAAAAATCAAAGTTTGTTTGCTTACATAGCTACAAACTAAAGAAAAAGAGTCTAAACAATTAATTAGAAGTTTCGATGTTTAATATAACTAGCCTAAAATTTGTTTGTAATATTCTGTAACCATATTTTCATATTTTCAGTTATATTACAAAAAATTTATTTATAAAAATGACTTTAAAATCACGATATTATGATTTTGTACAACGTCATTAAAACGTCACAAAAAAAGACATTTTAAATGATGTATTATTGGTAAACTAACGTTGGACCAGTCATCACCTCACGGTTTTTACGTTATTTTGACGTAGATATGCTACCTGAGTCGGTTAGGCTACTCGATCGAAACGCTGCTCAATTCTTATTTTTATCTCTGCCCAGTAAGCAAAAAACTATTATTACAATGTTATTGCAACGATATTCTAGAACTTGTAATGTTGTTAAATATGTAGTTCTTAATGTTGTATAGAACATCATTATGAACATACTTTGACCACGATTCCGAAATTTCAGTAATGTTGAAATGGGAGTGCCATAACGTTGCAAATAACATTGCGCTAAGGTTTTTCTATCATTCCTGTAATGTTTTTGAGATAAAAATTTAAACGTACTATCAACTTTATTACAATATTATATTAAGATTACCGTAATGTTAATTCTAACATTTATTTAAAGTTCTTATTGATGTTTTATTTCTATTACAGGCAACATGTTTTCAATAAATATGCAATAGTAATAAAATATCTCAATATTTATTGTCTAATTATTATTTAGATTGCTTTTTTATAGACCAGGCTTGGACAACTTTGAGCTCCAGAACCACGACACTTCTTTTCTATTCACGGAAAGTAAGGGAGTGTCGTGGCTTCGGAGCTCGAAGTTGCCCAGGCCTGTTATATACCAATCTGCATTAGGGAATAATTCACTAATTATCATAAAAAAGGGATAATATAAAAAGCTCAGTTATTTTTTATTTTGCTCAGTTAATTAAAAAAATATTAAGTAAAAATAAAATCAATGCTCAATAGATTTTAATGATAATGCTAAGTTAGAAAATGCAAATGCAAAATAAATAAATTTATTTTGTTATGGGAATAATGCACAGTTAATAAATCTAATTTGCATTGTTATTTGCCCAATCGTTACGTTTATTATTACTCTAGTCACCCGAAAAAATAAGAACTGAATGCAATAAGTTTGGTCAACCGGGCGATTTTATTATCCAACGAATGTTCTTCATAAAACAAAATAACAATACAATTAACCTACAGAAAGACACGGATAATTTGACCGGGGCATATGATATAATAACAGAACATTTAACGTGTCAATCGTGATCAGTGTGCCTTTGTCACTCATTGGTTGCTGACATACTTCTCCCTCGTATACCATTCTTTCTTCGTTAATTTAAAATGTCGATTCCACCGCTTTACAAATCGTTCGAAGATAACCAAGAAAACTGCATATTCTGTAAGTCGTCGACAAATGACGTTGTTTTGTATGGCAATAAATACACTAAGAATGGAATCACCATACATAACTTTTGTTTGGTAAGTTTTTTAACCATTCATTTTGATTTTATGATAATTTTTCCCATTTTTCACATTTGTTTACATTTGTATCAGTTGTTCGCATCGGGATTGCAGCAAAAGGATGAAGCTAATGTTGGAATTCTAGGATATTTGGAGGAAGACGTCAAACGTGAATTGAAGCGAACTTCAAAATTGGTATGTTTTCCAATTATTTTTAAATGCGTTTCAAGTTTTTCGATTGTTTGAAATCATTCAATCCGTTTACTCAATCAAAAATAACTATTTGCAGACTTGCTTCTACTGTAAATTGCGTGGCGCAATGAAGGTGTGCGACAACTTACGCCATCGACGAATAATACGCTTGAATCGGCAAACAAAAGGATTAAAGATGAACACACGTTTAGAGAACGTTATGAATTGAGCCGGTTCCGTACTGTTATGTTTGATATGGTGCAAACATGGTCTTTAGCGTATTTTAATGGTAAAGTGGAGGTTCATAATAGTCCCGCAATTACATTGGAACAATGGACTACGGCTTATGCTTGGGCGAAGACGGATTTTCATATGGCAGTCAGCGAAAATGGAGGACGCACATTGTATACAATTCCAGCAGACCCAAAAGTTAATATAATTGGACCAGATGAGGAATGAAACACCTTTGACGAATTTATGTCAAAGAACTTCAAGTACTACAATGTGACTTTTCCGACTCCTTTCACGAAACACAATTGGCTCCAAGGAAAATGTGATTGCAGCGATTTTTTCAAGCTTTATATGTGTCAACACATCCTTGGTATTTCACTTCGTATGAGGTTCGTGATCGCACCGGACGAAGCAAAGGCTATACCATTGGGTCAAAAGCGAAAACGTGGTCGTCCTGCTCGAGCAAAAGCGGCGTTGGTTATTCAATAATATGACACGATGTTGACTATTTGATTATATTTCGAAACAGTTTATGTAGACTTTGTTTATGTAGATATTTGATTTTGTTTTTACTTAATATTTTTTTAATTAACTGAGCACAATAAAAAATAACTGAGCATTTTATATTATCCCTATTTCAACACATCAACCTATTTATTGTAATTTGTTACTTTTTTAAATGAAATCTGAGCAAAATATGATTTTTTATCGAGAAATATTAAATGTTTAACCTATCAAAATAACAATTGGCCTTGCGGATACATATAATTGCTATGAAATTTAATTATTCTACTGATAAATAATTCGATTTAACTGAGCACTATAGAAAATATAACTTGAGCAGAAAAAACATTTACTGAGCTAAAATAAGTTTAACTGAGCATTTAAATGACACCCCATAAAAAAGTTTTATTTATATAAAAATAATATATACCATATATTACAGTTTTCAGTTTATCACAATAATATCTTTGGTGAAGATCACTGATCCTAGCGTAAGGTTTTGGGATAAAACTCATCTTTCAAATAAAAAAATGTGTTACTATAATAATCACTTGCGCGGAGCCACGCAAGTAAGATAATATATTTATCACTTCCTGAAAAATAAAAGTAAAATTAAATTAGTGAAAAAGCTACTTATAAATTATAACGCGGCAAACTATAATAATTTTATTTTATAGAGAGTATATACCGAAATACATTACATTACCTTTTTAATGTTTTTTTTTTCCTTACGGACGTTTGCGAATCTGAACCACTCCATTACAAAGTGTTGAAAATCTTTTTCTGTATTCCGAGGGAATATTGCTCTAAAAACTTCTGAAATAAGAAAAATTCAATACAGTTTATTGTTAGATGAAAGAAATAAATAATGTTAATTTAACGGCAATTAAAACTTATGATAATTATTGAAATAACACAAAAGTTTCCGAAATAGTTTACATATATAGGTACTAAATCGATCAAAAATATTAGTTTATGGATATATATATTTTTATTTTATTTCGTAAGAATTTTTAACGTGTATGTGTGTCCTGCTTTTTAACGATGATTGCTACAAAAAATAAGGAGACAATTTTAATAAATTCTGAGACATAAAACATAGCATTTAATACTGCAAGTAATATATACATTTCTTAAAAAATTACTTACTTTTAATGCTCAGAATTGTGTGTGTGCGTATCTCCAATTTTATAATTATTTTTTTGGCCAGTTCATGAACACATGGAGGCTAAGTCATCAGAAAATGTAGCCCTCAAACTTCTTCTAATAAAATTCTTTTCATGTTTCCCTCCAATTAACATAACCTTGTTCACCTGAAAAATTTATACTTGTAATTCTATATAATGCAGTTTATTATTATAAATTGCAAGGAAAATAATTCAGAAAACTTTTAAAATATAATAACACATATTATAGGATATTATAGAACATATTAAAGGACATATATTATAGATATAAGTTTGTAAGAGTGAGTCCCAGTTGCGCACAGAATAAATCGGACACAGCAGGTTGAATGAATCGGACACAGTGTCGATCGGACACAGTAGGAAACGGA